AAAAAAAAAAAAAAGAGAGAGAGAGGATCTCTTTGTATAACTCAGGTTAGCCTCAAAGTTATATTCAATCAATCTTTTTGCCTTAGATTCCTGAATGCTGGGGCTACAGGTATGCACTACAATGCCCAGCTTATTAATTTAATAATAATAATAAGTAATTTAATTAGTGACATTTTTTTTTTTGGATGAGTTGGGATTCTTACCTGTATTTACAAAATAGTTCAATTTTATTTTCTTTTTTATTTGAATTGTGTGTTGGGGGGGTGAGTGCAGGTGCCTCTAGAGATCAGAAGAGTCAGATCCCCCTGGTACTGGGAGTTTTAGGTGGTTATGAATCACTGAGCCACCTCTCCAGCCCCCCTGCAATCTTGTTTTCTGAGACAGGGTCACTAGCCCAGTCTGGCCTCAAACTCTATGTAGCCTCAGATGACTGAATTCCTGATCCTGTGAGGGCTGGGAATTACAGGCTTATGCTACTATACCAAGTCTATGTGGTACTGGGTATCCAACCCAGGGCCTCACGTATGCTAGGCAAGCAATCTACCAACCGATGCATTGCTAACTCAACATCAGCAACTTTTGTTCTGCACTGTCCAATGGGTGTGGTAGAGAGAATACATTCTGAAGCACTCACATATGGACTCCATTGTTGAAGCTTGAAGGGACTTTAGAATTTGCCCTGGTTCAGCTGCTAAAACAGATGTAGAACCAGGGTCAAGGGTGGCACCTAGCTCACCTGACTTGGGTTTCCAGGTGCCTTCTACAAGACTCCTGCAGACTATTTGTTGTTATCATCCCCCCCCCCCTTTTTCCCCCTGAGACAGGGTTTTTTTCTGTAACAGCCGTGGCTTTCCTGGAACTCCATCTGTAGACCAGGCTGGCCTTGAATTCATATAGAGATCTGCCTGCGTCTGCCTCCCAAGTGCTGGGATTAAAGGCATGTCAGTGCTGTTACCATTTTTCAATTCATTCTTCTCTTTGTTATTTTCTTGGTCCTTTTGTTTTCACACTGTCTCATGTAGCCTAGGCTAGCCTTGACCTGACTATGTAGCTCAATACTACCTTGAACTTCTTCCTGCCACTACCTCAAAAGTGCTGGGATTATAGACATTCACCCTCATGCCCAGGTATTTATTTTTATTCTTTGAGATGGGCTCTTACAATGTGGCCCAGACACATTGTAGGACAGCTGGGCCCAAGTGATGTTACTGCGTGCTTTTCCAAGTAGCTGGGATTGTAAGCATCTTCCTCTCTCCATCCATCCCTGTGCAGAAGATCAAACCCATAGCCTCATACATACTAGGCAAAATATCCTACCCTGATTTAAATATCCAGTCTCTTCCTTAAAAACAAACAAACAAAAAAATAAAAAACCCTCAAAAACAACTCCCATATTAGGGACAGTGAGATGCCTCAGGGAGTGTGTGCTGCATGCGGTGGTGGCGCACGCCTTTAATCCCAGCACTCGGGAGACAGAAGCAGGTAAATCTCTGTGAGTTTGAGGCCAGCCTGGTCTATAGAGCGAGATCCAGGACAGGCTCCAAAGCTACACAGAGAAACCCTGTCTCGAAAAACAAAAAACAAAACAAAACAAAAAATCCAAAAACAAAACAACAACAACAAAAAGTGCTTGCTGCCAATCGTAACCTTACTTGAGTTTGACCAACATGGTGAAATGAGAGAACAAACTCCAAGTTGTCCTCAGACCTCGATATTCACTATGATAAAACATAACAAAAGAGCCGGGTGGTGGTGGCACACGCCTTTAATCCCAGCACTCGGGAGGCAGAGCCAAACAGATCTCTGTGAGTTCGAGGCCAGCCTGGGCAACCAAGTGAGTTCCAGGAAAGGCGCAAAGCTACACAGAGAAACCCTGTCTCGAAAAACAAACAAACAAACAAACAAACAAAAACAAAAAGAAATAAATACAATAGAAAATTCTGTAGTTGTAAAAACAATTACAGAAGTCAGGCATGTGATATATTGTATACTCCAATAAAGCTTATCTGGAGAATAAGAGGACAGAGCCAGCCACTAGATTAGACATAGAGGCCAGGCAGTGGTGGCTTGCACCTTTAATCCCAAAAAGTGATGTCTGGGCAGAGAGAGGTATACAAGGCCTGAGGAAACAGGAATTCACTTTCTTGAGACTTGAGGATTTCCTAGAGGTAAGGAGGTGGCTGGCTTGTACTGTTTCTCTGATCTTTCAACTAAGCTTTATTGGGATGCACAATATATCACCACACAGGCATGATGGTCCACATCTGTAATCTCAGCACTTGGAGTGGGGAGGGGTGAGGCAGGAGAATCACCCCAAATTCAAAGCCAGTTTAGACTACTAGCTCAGGTTAGCTCAAGTGCTGAGCTAACCAAGGGTCTGTAACAAGACTCGTCTCAGAAAAGAGCTTGGTCTGGTGGTGCTGGCCTGTAATGCCAGCATTTGGGAATCTAAAGGAAGATGGTCCATGAGTTCAGTTGTCCCACAGTAAATTCCAGGGCAACCTGGGGTACATAATGAGACCCTATCTAAAAACCAACAACAATAACCAAAAATAAGAAATAAAACAGAAAGATAATGGTTATAATACATGGGTAGCATATTGAGTTAATACCAAGATGGACAAAACTTTTTAATATACTGATTTTTGCTACTGGGTATGATGAAGCACACCTTTAATCCTTTTTATTTTATTTTTATTTATTTATTTTTGTTTTTCAAGACAGGGTTTCTCTGTGTAGCTTTGCACCTTTCCTGGAATTCCCTTTGGAGACCAGGCTGGCCTTGAACTCACAGAGATCCGCCTGGCTCTGCCTCCTGAGTGCCGGGATTAAAGGCTTGCGCCACCACCAACCCACACCTTTAATCCTAGCACTTGGATCTCTGCAGCCTGGTCAATATGTGCTGGTCAATAGAGTGAGTTTGGTCACCACCCAGCTGCAGACATGTTTTGAGTGCATTTGCTTGTGGGATGAGTGGAGGTAGAGAACAGGAGAGGCAGAGCTTTCTTTTTTTTTCTTGTTTTGTTTTGTTTTTGGAGACAGATTTTCTCTGTATAGCAGTTCTGGGTGTCCTGGAACTCACTTTGTAGACCAGGATGTCTTCAAACTCACAGAGATCCACCTGCCTCTGCTGCCCAAGTGCTGAGATTAAAGGCGTGGACCACCACCGCTGGTTTGCCACCCTGACTTGACAGTACTGTACTGATGTAGTCCGAAGCCCAGGGCCTCACACATACTAGGCAAACTCTAGCACCGAGTTGCATCTTCAGCTGGATCCTGGTTGATGAAGTTGCCCCATACCACACAAGTGGAATACTTCTGTAGCTGGGGGTGGTACTTGATGCTAGTTATTTATTTACAGGTAGCTTTTGAAAATGGCTGCCTCTCATTACTCCGGGCTTACAGCTGTTGCTGATGTCATTAAAGATCTAGACACTCAGATAGCAGTAAGTAAACTGAGGCCACTGTGGGCAGAACTTGGTGAATGTGCTTCTGGTCTTGACACCACAGCCATGTTCACAGAGTCAACCCCAGGGCTCTGAGATTTAGGACCCGCAGCTGCTTTAGGTGACAGTCTCAGCATGTCTTGGAGATCACTAAAACACAAAGGGAAAAAAGCTTTCTATGGTAAAGCAGAGCTTTTAACAGTTGCTAGAAGTTGTGTTTACTGGGCAGAGCCCTACCTTGGACTAAAGCATGTTTTGAAATGCTTCAACATGTTTTGAAAATGAACTAATGATTTTCTTAAGCTTTGTGACTGAGCTTTAAATATGTGATTGTGCTATTTATTTGAATTTAACATTATTTCATACTTAAAAAATGATGCATGTAAGTACTTAGTGGTGTGTCTGCTTGTATGAATTCCTCAAAAATGTCTTGCTTATTTTTGTAAATAAGATTCCTCGTTTCATTTACTTTTTTCCTTATTCAATTTTGTGAAGTATTTCATTTAGATTTTGGAGACAAGATGGTTTCTAAAACCAAGTGAGAGCAATGAACATTCTTCATTCCTTCCATTTCAATGTCAAAATCAAGTAATTGCCCTCCGGGAATGCACTGAAGACTCAATGACAGATCTGTGAAAACACCATTACTGCAGGCGTCCTGGAGTAATTCTGATGTCTCTGTTTCCCTCTCCAGCTGATTGGCCTTGGTCCTCACAGCTCCAAAAAGAAGCAGGATCTTGATAAACTCTATGAGCTGAAGTCCAAAGCTCGGCAGATTATGAATCAGTTTGGCCCCTCAGCCCTAATCAACCTCTCCAATTTCTCATCTATAAAACCAGAGCCAGCCAGCACCCCTCCACAAGGCTCCATGGCCAATAGCACCACTGTGGTAAAGATACCAGGCACTCCTGGGACAGGCGGTCGTCTTAGCCCTGAAAACAATCAGGTACCTCTTAGCTTCCTTCTCTACAGCCCTTCTCTCTCATTTGGACCTGTAATCTGTACAGGGGTGGACATAACAGGTGTTCTTTCTCTCTATTGAAAAAGGTCTTTCCCAAGCCAGGCAGTGATGAGTTTAATCCCAGCACTTGGCAGGCAGAGGTTGGTGGATCTCTGTGATTTCAAGCCAGTCTGGTCTACAGAGTGAGTTCTAGGACAGCCAGAACTACATAGAGAAACCCTGTCTCAAAAAAACAAAAACAAATAAACAAACAAAATATAGAATAAAATAAAGAAAAAGGTCTTTCCCCTCTGGAATAGCATTTTTATTGAATTGTCTACAATATCAATTTTTACTCTGTTATATATGATTCTGTGTGTGTGTGTATATCCATATAAACACATGTAATAAACTTTCATAGGGCAGGTGGCTGGGGTTTTGGTCTTATTTTGTTGAGCTAGTGTTTAGTATAGCCCAGGCTAACTGGGACTCAAAGATGTAGCCCCAGGCAGCATCAAAGTCCTGGGCAGTCTTCTTGCCTCCTCCTCCCAAGGGTTGGGATTACAGGCGTAAGCGAGCCACTACACTCAGCAATGGCAGATATTTTGAGTTATCTGTATAATACATGGGCTCCTTATTCCTAAAATAAGAGTGTTCAGTTGTTCCTTCTTGTAGTTTATCTTACTGCTGCCATTAATTTCTGCAGTGATTCTGAAATCTGTTCCCCTCTTTGTACCTATGACCCTGATCCCACCTTCCAGAGCAACAAGAAAAGAAATATAAAGCTGGGAGGCAGAGGCAGGCAGATCTGTGAGTTTGAGGCCAGCCTGGTCTACAGAGTGAGTTCCAGGACAGCCAGGGCTGCACAGGAAACACTGTCTCGATAAACCAAAAGAAAGACAAAAAAGGAAAGAAGGAAAATCCTGTGCCTAGGATCTTGTAGGCTGAATAGGGTGGATGAGGAGACATTCAAGGGAAGGACTAGCTGAGCTGCTTGTGGAAGAGTTGGCTGAACAGACCCTAGCCTGTGTTGACTATGGAGGCCACTATAGAAGAGCAAGATGGCTCACACCTTTGATCCCAGCACTTGGGAGGTGGTAAGAGGAAGATCAGCAGGTCCTCATCCTCTGCTACAAAACATACTTCCATGTATGTATGCTGTCAATTGCACACACACACACACACACTCACCCCTAAATAACTGTAAAGAGAAGCCATTAATCCCAGCACTTGGGAGGCAGAGGCAGCCTGGTCTACATAGTGAGTTCCAGGACAGCCTGGTCTACATAGTGATGCTCTGTCTCACAAAAAGGGGTAGGAGGACACAAAAGCACAGGTACTTGTTTCACTTTACTTGTTGGGTATTGTGTTTTGCGTCCTTTGTTTTATTTGTTTGTTTTTGGAGACAGCGTTTCTCTGTATAGCTTTGGAGCCTGCCTGGAATTCATTCTGTAGACCAGGCTGGCCTTGAACTCACCATCGCCCGGCAACCTTTTTTTCTTGGGTGGGGATGTTTCTCTGTGTAGCTCTGGCTGTCCTAGAACTCATTCTGTAGACCTTGAACTCAGAATCTGTCTGCCTCTGTCTCCCAAGTGCTGGGATTAAAGATGTGGGCCACACCTGTCTCAACCTGTTAGCCTTTTAAAGCAGATATGGGCAGGTTTACAAATCTGCACAGTGCCAGAGGATGCACAGAGGACAGAAGAGCCGAAGAGGGGCGTGGGTCCTTTTACCTGGGTGGACTAGGAGTCCCCTCAGAAAGGAGAACCATGACCTGAGCATTTAGGAAGAAGAAAGGACATGTCTAAAGGCAGCAGATCCAAAGGATACAGTGTCTGGTGACCAGAGAATGCAGGCTGCTCTGAGATGCAGAGCAGGGAAGAAGAGTGAGAAAGATAAGATTGAATAAACTGTCTGGCAATTAGATGCCGACCTCAACTCCAAACTACTCTCCCTTTTTCCCTTCTGAACTGCCCCTGCCTCTTTCCCTTGAGTATACTTTGGCAGTTGTACCACCACCAGGTAGGGTTGTCTGGGAGCTAGAACTGAACTCAACAATTTGACAGCCTGTCTTTGGGGGGTAGTGAGGTCAATACTTATGAAAACTCTTCCCCAAATCCACTTTAGGTATTGACCAAGAAGAAATTACAAGACTTAGTCAGAGAAGTGGATCCTAATGAGCAGCTGGATGAAGATGTGGAGGAGGTAAGGTGGATTTGGGTACCAAAGATGATACAGCATGCTAGTTAAGAGTGGAGACCGTGGGGCTGGGGAGATGGCTCAGTGGTTAAGAGCACTGGCTGCTTTTCCAGAGAACCCAAGTTCAATTCCCAGCACCACATGGCAGCTCACAGCTGTCTGTAACTCTAGCTTGAGGAGGTCTGACACCTTCTAGCCTCCACAGGCACCAGGCACAGATGTACATGTAGGCAAAACATCCATACATACTATAGAGAGAGAGAGAGAGAGAGAAAACATCCATATATACTAGAGAGAGAGAGAGAGAGAGAGAGAGAGAGAGGTTTTAAGTAATAGATAAAAATAAAAAGACTTCAGGATTAGAACTTCACCCTGAAGGCTGAATCCCATCTCTCCTGCACAATCTGGTTGCACAGCCATGAGCAGGTTGGTCTTAGTCTCAGTGTCTTCCTTTAAAGATTAGGGACAAAGCTGGGTGGTGGTGGTGGTGGTGGTGGTGGTGGTGGTGGTGGTGCATACCTTTAATCCTAGCACTTGGGAGGCAGAGGCAGGCGGATCTCTGTGAGTTCGAGGCTAGCCTGGTCTACAGAGTGAGTTCCAGGACAGCCAGGGCTACAGAGAGAAACCCTGTCTACTAAACATGTGATGCAGAAGCATACAGTTGTCCCAAAACAGGAGGCTGCCCTGCCAGTGGCATGGTTACTCTCCCCACTTTCCCTCTCCAGATGTTGCTGCAGATCGCCGATGATTTCATCGAGAGTGTGGTGACCGCGGCCTGCCAGCTTGCTCGGCATCGCAAGTCTAGCACCCTAGAGGTGAAAGATGTCCAGCTGCATCTAGGTATGTGGCCTCATTTCTCCTTGAAGTATCTCCATGACTAGTCTGTGAGGACTGTCTGGGCAGATGTCAGAGAAACCCTCATGCTTGGACCAGACCTTTAGGCCTAGGATTTACCACTCAGAAGCAGGGCCTAATATAGGAAAGGAAGCCTTTGTGGTAGGGGATGCCTCTGGACCACTTTATCCTTTCTGTTTGATTTCTGAGAGTCTGTCTCCCTATTCATAAAGTGAGGATTGAAATGTCTTCTTTGCAAGTAACTGTGAGAATTACATATTATGTTCATAAACTGGAAAAAAATAGCATATTCTACAGCTAAACATGAGTTAATCACATAATATTTATATGCATTAAATGTAACATATAATGATGCCAGGCGGTGGTGGTGCATGCCTGTAATTCCAGCACTGGGGAGGCAGAGCCAGGCAGATCTCTGTGAGTTCAAGGCCAGTCTGGTCTACAGAGTGAGATCCAGGACTGTGTGTGTGTGTGTGTGTGTGTGTGTGTGTGTGTGTGTGTGTGTGTGTGTGTGTGTAGACACACATATATATATAATGATAAGGTCACTAAATTTTTGGGGCCCAAGGAGATGGCTCGGTGGTTAGGAGCACTTGCTATGGATGAATGATGGTCTGATGTGGGTCCCCAGCACCCACATATGCCTGTAATCTCAGCCTATGGAGTCAGACAGACAGGAGGATGGCTGGGGCTGCTGACTACCAGTCTTGCTAGAAAAGAGTGTGTCCCAGGTTCAGTGACATATGGTCTCGGGAGAAGGTGAAGAGTTATAAAGGAGGACACCAGATGTCCTCTGGCCCCCAGATACACAGGGGCGCGTACACTTGTGCACACACACACATACATGCATATGTAACACACAACTTCAGTGTGTTTTAAGTAGTTGGTCTGTTCAGAGTAAGAATCATTTTATGAAAGAAATCCTGTTTTCTGTGCTATGGGGACACTAATGGAGTATAAAGAGCCATGTGTATACAGCTAGGGATAAACTAGGAACCAGATGGTTATGCCTGTCATACTGTACTTAATGACTATTTTTCTATTTTAAAGTAATCTCATGTTGTTACTAAATATGGAGATAGGGTAAAATTCATAAAGGAATAATAGTATCTGTGTAAATCCTTCTGAATGTGACTTTGTGTGTGTGTGTGTGTGTGTGTGTGTGTGTGTGTGTGTGTGTGTGCGTGCGTGCGTGCTTGCACGCGCGCGCACACACACACCCTTTTTTCTTTTTTAGGAAGGGTCTTACCTTGTAGCCCTGGCTGGCCTGGAGCTCACAGAGATCCACCTGCCTCTGCCTTCCTAGTGCTGGGACTAAAATCATGTGTAACCATGCCTGACTAAAAATAAAATAGATAAAAGGCAATAAAAAAATTAATTTAAAAACATAAGGAGTAAGATAACCAGTAGCAGTGTGGTGTCTTGGGCTCATAATTCCAGCACTTAAAGGCTAGCACAGGGCCGGGCTGTGGTGGTGCACGCCTTTAGTCCCAGCACTCAGGAGGCAGAGGCAGGCGGATCTCTGAGTTCCATGCCAGCCTGGCTACAGAATTCAAGGACAGCCAGGGCTACACAGATAAACCCTGTCTTGAACGCCCCCCACCAAAAAAAAAAAAAAAAAGAATGCCCCCCCCCCCAAGAAAAGAGACTGGCACAGGCAGATCACTGTGAGTTCAGTTCTAGTCTAGGGTGCATATCAAACTTTGCCTCAAAAAAATAAATAAATAAATAAATAAATAAATAAATAAATAAATAAATAAATAAATAAAAACAGATGCTAGAGAGATGGTTAGGAGCACTAGACACTGTTCCTGAGGACTCTGACTGGGCTCCCAGAGCCTACATGGTGCCTCCTAACTATCTTCAACTCCAGCACCCCCTTCTGGCCTCCTTGTATACAAGCTTGCACATGGCACATACATACATGCAGGCAAAACACCTATGCACATAAAATAAATAAATCTTAATAAATAAAATTTTAAAAAGTTGACATTAAAAGGGTTCAAGGACTTGGGGGGGGTATAGCTCAGTGGTAGAGTGTTTGCCCAGGGCACTAAGCCCAGTAAGGAAACCTTGCAGAAGCTATGTGCTGTCCAGTGGGTGCCCAGGGCTGCCTCTGCCCCCTGCCTGCAGCCACACTGCCTTCTAGCCGGAGCCTCAGCTCTGCTCCTGTCTTCCTTGCAGAGCGCCAGTGGAACATGTGGATCCCAGGATTTGGCTCTGAGGAAATCCGACCCTACAAAAAAGCTTGCACCACAGAAGCTCACAAACAGGTGAGGAACCCGGGACAGCCAGGGCTGGTCCCTGACTGCACCTGGGAGGGGGACACACAGCTGTGGTCCAGGAGTCTGTCTGTCCCTGTGCAGTCGGCTTCCCTGCAGCAGCGGTCAGAGGCAGCACAGTGACGGCTCCCCTGGTGCTGGGCTGCTACACGGGCCTTTCAGTTTTCCCCTCAGCCCTGACAGGTTTCCAGGGCTTCTGTGGGCGTGCCCACCTGCTCCCACACCTCAGTGAAAGCCCGTTTGAATACCATACACCACCAGGTCAGAGAAAGAAGTATGCCAGGCTTGTGCTGAGAGGTACCCAGGCTGTTCTGCCCAATATTCTGGGTTGGGTCCCGTGTTAGCAGCTGTCCTCTGCCCTTCTTGACATCATTTCTGATAGAGAACCAGGGATCCCTTGTCTTTAGTTCAACCGGGGCACTGGCCTCATCTTGAAAAGCCTGGCATCCTCTCTGTTGTAATCTAACTGGCTGCCCTGATTCTTATGGTTGTGCATGCCTGTAATCTCAGCCCTATGGAGTCAGACAGATCTCTGAGTTCCAGCCTGCTCTATAGAATTCGCCTTATTCCAGGGAAAGGGAGCTTCATGTGAATATGGCAGGTGCAGCTGGCCAGTGCAGTCTCTCAGTCTGTGAAATGGGCCCAGTGGCCTCTGTGACTGTCTTCACCCTGCATGCTACTCCTGTGATGCAGACCGTGCTACTTGTGAGCAGTATATGGATATTCCAGAAAGCTCTTGACTCAGAGCCTGTTAACTGTTATTTCTCTCCCTTTCAGAGAATGGCATTGATCCGGAAAACAACCAAGAAATAACACAGGGGACAGTCAGGGAATGGACGACGTGTGTTTGGAGATACTTGAGCTGAGACCTCAGCCATCTCATCCTTGGATTTTTTTTTTAATGCTTTACAGAGAAGCATATATTTTTTATTAACAGTGCAGCAATATCTATAATGACTGAGAAGATCTGCCAAAAGAATAAAGCCTCCTACCCCAACTTCTGGTCCCTTTCCCTGCCATCTCAAAGGAGGAGACTTGCCCTGTGGTTTATCTGTAAACGACTGACTGTAGGCAGAGTGTGTGCTCGTGTTGGGGAGACAGTGTTAGCAGGTTTGGAGAGGGTCTGTCGCCTCCGCCCCTGTCTCCGTACTTTGTAATGTCAGTGTTTCTATGAATATGAACTTGATTTGCTTTTCCAGAATAAAGAACTTATTAATGGAGACACAGGTGCCTAGCTGAGAGCCTTTGAAATGCCAGGGAGGACCAGCAAGGCCGGAGCGAGCGCTGCCGTCAGCGGGTGGCAGCACAGGCCCCATCCCTACAGTTACCGGGGTTTTCAGTTTTACTCCAGAGGAACGACCAGCAGTCGGAGCTGGAGTTCAGGTTCTCTGCCACAGGACAGGGTGAACTAGCCCCCAAATAAACAAGCATTCTAGTTCTGATAATGTCAGTGTCCCTGGGACTTCTTTTTTTTTTTTTTTTTTTTTTTTTTTTTTTTGTGTTTTGAGTCAGGCTCTTGTGTAGCCCAGGCTGGCTTCAAACTTGATATATTGCTGAGGCTATCCTTGAACTTGCCCTCCTGCCTCCAACTCTCAGTGTGCTGAGATTACAGGTGTACATCATCATACCTGGCTTTCTAGAGCCCTTTTGGACCTTTTCTGGAACTTTATGAAAGATCATATTCATCCTTGGCACTGAGGAAGGATGTGAATAGCTTTGGGGCAAGTCTTGTTGCTGGGATTCTGTCACCAGAGGAAAGCAGGCCCTGTCTAGACCACAGAGTGTTCTTCCAGGGCATCATTCTGACCCATGCCCAGCACAGTCCTTGTGGATTGTGAAGGGTCCATGGGCTCCGGGGAGGATGGCTGCCCTTCTGCCCAGGGGCCAGGGCACAGGCACATCTGCCTTTGGTCCCTGCTTTGGTCCTCTTCCTCCTGAGGCTTGGTCCAAGATGGGACAGAGTCTGTAGATCTCTTGGGTGAGCAGCTTGAAGGCCATGCTGCTGTTGCTGTTGGTCTTAGCTGAGGTTTCAGCCTGGAAAGTCTGCAAGAGGACAGCCAGCTTCTTCACTGGTCACACCTGACACTGAGATCAGCCTGTGGCCGAGCACCAGGAGGAGGATCTTGGCGGGTTTCACCTTTCTCCAGAGCCTGCTGCCTCCAGAGATGCGCTCAAAGGATGCTCTGTCAGTGACTTCAAACAGCAGAAGGCTCCCACTTGGTCCTCATAGGAACTAGTCACTGACTCCAGCAGCCAAGAAGGAATCTGGAATGACTCTTGAGATCTCTGTCGGGGACAGAAAGGGACAAGGGGATTGGGGAAGTACAATGACAGAAGTGAGGTACTCGCAAGATGTCAGTTCTTGACCAGCTGTGTGACAGGTAGGTGGCTTCTTCTGTCTCAGTATTACTGTCCTGTCAGCACATTGAAGGGCTGTTCATGTCTCTAAGCTGTACCTGTGTCTCTACTAGGCAAGAGCCACAATAACGAATTAAAACAAGTCAGGTGGGCCGCTATTGGAGAGAGAGGCAAATTCGGGAAAGGCTAGGGTCACAGCTGGAGGAGGGCGAGTCTCACAGGTTCCAAGAATGGTCTTTGTCCAGAAGTAATAGGAGCCATTGAAGCATTTTATACAGTAATGGAATGTGCAAAGGCCCAGTGATCTCCAGAAGGCGGTGTACCTGGAGCTAGGGATATAGTTCAGTGGTAGAGCCCACGCTTAATATAGCAAGGTCCTGGTTTCCATCCCAGAAATTAAAAAATAAAAGGAATGCATCCAGATGGGAATCACACAAGGTGCGAGGTTAGAGTACGACAGATGGAAGAAAGGGGCATGGAGTGGACAGCCCTCAGACTCAGTCTGTGGCTTCCTCCTGCTCTCCCAGGCGCCTGGAGTCCTTGCTTCATTGGGGAGCAGCTTGCTCCTGACTTCCTGCCACATTCACTTGAAAGACTGCAGTAGACACGACGGCATGGCCCGTTCTGCCTCCCTGACGCTGTCGCAGTGTGAACAAGGCATGGAGGGAGCATTGTGGAGCAGTCTTCTAAGTACGGCATAGTTTACCACCTGTGTATGCACGCATGTTTGTGTGTCTGTGTGCTCACCTGCACATACACGTGTCTGTGGAGGCCAAAGGAAAGCCTCGGGTGTCATCCTCAGGTGTGTCATCGCCCCACTGTAAGACTGGGTCTCTCCTTGGACTTGAACTCACCAATTAGGCTAGAGCGGCTGGCCAGTGAGCCCCAGGGAGTCTCCTGTCTGTCCCTCCCCAACGCTGGGATTACAAGGGTATACCACCACATCCAGCATTGATAGAGGCTCTGGGCATCCAGCACAGGTCCTCCTGCCTTCCCGATGAGCTCTCTCTCTCCAGCCCTGGTTGCTAGCTTGATTGTTTAGTTGTCGTTATCTTCAAAAACAAAAACAAAAACAAAACAGGTTTGTTGTCTATACTGCCAGGGCAGCAGGCTGGGTAATAAGTAGCCTAGTACCTTTTGAGACAGGATCTCCGATAGCCCAGGTTGGTATCTGAATTTGGTATATGGCTAAGGATCCAGCTGCCTCCCTCTCCCAAGGGCTGGGGTTAGAGGTGTGCACTCAGCCTTGCAGGCTGTCACCGCCGTCCTCAGAGCAGCCGTGACTGTCTACAAGTGCCGCTCCTAAGATCACGTCTGTTAATGTTCCCTCATGGAGGGAAGGGCTGAGCAGAGTCATTGGACCTTCAGCTAGGGTTCTAACCTGCCTCCCAGCAAGCTGCAGGTAATTCCGCCCCGGCTACATGTGGTCTCGGGGGAGAATACAGCGTGTGGAAGCCAGCTGAAGGGGAACGCCATCCCTGTTGCTTTGGAGAGATTGTCACCATGTTGGGGTGGGACTTTTCAGTGATGCAGCTGTTTGGGGGTCACCCATACTCCTGTAAGTAAGCCCAATAAACTCACTGGTTCACCAAGATAGACTTGGTGGAACTGTTTCTGTTCTTGGTGAATAGACATCAGGAAAAGTAATGCAACTGAAGGGAAGTGGGGCAACGCATCCTTGGCTCTCTAGAAGACGGTTGTGGGGTGCCAGTATCAAGCATTCCCCGGAAAGGACTATGGGAACCGGAAGCTGGGCGTCTCGGTGGAGCAGGTGTAGCCATCCAAAGGAACAAGGTGTTTCTCAAAAGGTATTTGAGGTCTGGCCGGATGGCTCAGTGGCTAGTGTTTGCCATGCAAGGCTGTCCACCTAAGTTCAGTCCGTAAAACTGTAAAGGTAGAGGGAGAGAAACAGGCAGACAAGAATAAAAGTATTTTAAAAACGGTACATGTGTGGGTCTTTGCCTGAATGTCTGTGCACCATGGGCATGCTATGTCCATGGAGGACAGAAGAGGCCATCAGATCCCCTGGAACTGGAGTTAGAGATGGCTGTGAGCTGCTGTGGGTGCTGGGAATTGAATTTGAGTCCTCTGGAAGAGCATGTTGTCTGTCCAGCCCCAAATAAATAATTTTGCTTTGCTTTTATTTTATTGAAACAGTGTCTCACCATGCAGCCCTGGCTGTCCTGGAACTCACTATGTAGACCAGACTACCCTTGAATTCGAAGAGATCCTATCAGCTTCTTCCTCCCAAGTGCTGGGATATAAGACATGCACCAAGATGCTTGGCCTAAATAAATAAATTTTAAAAGGTATTTAAAATATCTTGCCCAAAATATTTGATGAAGAATCGCCTATATCAGTGAAGACTCTTCGGTGGCAAATTATTTGCAGATGAACCAAGATGAGTTGATCGAGGCTCTCTTGTGTGACATTGCTTGTTAGATTTTTGTTGATCTATTCTAGTTGACTATTTACTTGTTTATTTGCAGTGCTATGAATCCAACTCAGAGTCTTTGTTCACGTTAAATGAGTGCTGGGTCACTGAGACACACCCCAAACACTGGTCCTTGAGCAAGAGTCTCCCTCTGGAGCCCAAACTAGCCTCGAACTCAAGATCTTCCTGCCTCAGTCTACTGAGCGGCTGAGGTTACAGATACACGTCACCATGCTTGCTTGTTTGGTTGAGTTGCTGGATAAAACTTACCCCCCTCCCACACACCCAAAAAATCAACCTTATTCAGGATTGGTCTACAGGGACTGGAAAGATGGCTAGAAGGCCCTGGCTTGATTCCCAGCTGCCACACGGCAGCTCACAACTCTGTAACTCCAGTCTGACACCCTCTCCTGGCCTCCTTGGTACTTACATGCACATGGCACACAGACAGACATACAAGCAGGCATTCACACACATACATAAATAAAGACCTGGTGCGTATGCACTTAATCCCAGTGCTCAGGAGGCAGAGACAGGTGCATCTCTGTAAGTTCAAGAACAGCCTGGATGCTGATGTGGTGAAGCATGGGAGGTAGAGGCAGGGGGATCTTTGTGAGTTCAAGGCCAGTCTGGTATACAGATCGAGTTCCAGAAAAACCAGGGCTACACACACAGAGAAACCCTGTCTTGAAAATCCAAAAATTAGGGCTGGAGAGATGGCTCAGAGGTTAAGAGCACCAACTGCTCTTCTAGAGGTCCTGAGTTCAATTCCCCGCAACCACATGGTGGCTCACAACCATCTGTAATGAGATCTGGTGCCCTCTTCTGGCCTGTAGTCATACATGCTGTATACATAATAAATAAATAAATCTTTTTTAAAAAAAAATTTCACACACTATTTAAAAAAAAAAATCCAAAAATTAAAAATAAAAACCAGCCTGGTCTACATAGCAAGCTCAAGGCTACACAATAAGACCCTGTCTCAAAATAAGTAAATACGGGCGGCGGTGGCGCCTTTAAGCCCAGCACTCGGAGGCAGAGCCAGGTGGATCTCTGTGAGTTCAAGGCCAGCCTGGTCTACAGAGCGATATCCAGGACAGGGTCCAAAGCTACACAGAGAAACCCTGTCTCGGAAAAAAAAAAAAACCAAACCAAAATCAAAATAAGTAAATAAAAAGCCAGGTATGTTGGCACATGCCTTTAATCCCACCACTGGGAAGGTAAGGTAGAGATAGGCAGTTCTCTGTGAGTTCGAGGCCAGCCTGGTCTACAAAGTGAGTTCCAGGTTAGCCTGCGCTGTTACATAGAGAAACCCTGTCCTCAAAGGAAATAATATTTTTTTTTTTCTTAAAGACTCTCATGTTGCTTAGGTATAGTGGTACATGTCTTTAATCCTAGCACTCAGGAGGCATAGACCAGTGGATCTCTGTGAGTTCAAGGCCAGCCTGGTCTACATAGTGAGTTCCAGAATATCTGGTGCTACATAGAGAGACTGTCTCAAAAACACAAAAAAGAACAAACAATAAAGATTTACATGTTAAGTAGGAGTCTGTGACCCACTGCCCAGACAGCCATAAGCCAGTGAAGTTTTAGGTGAAGGCTGGTATGCCTGTAAAGCATTGCCAGGTTCGAGGGTGTAGACTGGAGTTGGAAACAGAAAAGGGATGGCTGTGATGTTCCTGGTAGTTGTTTGGACTAAAGATAAAGGAGAAACCCTTGAAGGAGTCTTCAGAGGAAGAATTCACTAAAAAGCAGTGTGTGTGTGTTTGTGTGCACACGCTGTAACAACAGGATAAACCCCAAGGACAGAGGACCACCTATAACAATGAAGCCATTGGTAGCTCACTCCTTTTTTTAAAAAAATCATTTATTGTGGGCAGTGGTGGCTCACTCCTTTAGTCCCAGCACTTGGGAGGCAGAGGCAGGTAGCCAATCTCTGTGAGTTCGAGACCGGCCTGGCCTACAGAGCTAGTTCTAGGTCACACAAAGAAACAAGGAAAAAAAAAAGTATAAAAAATTTATTTGTATATGTATGGTAGTGGTGGCGAGCACCTTTAATCTCAGCCCTTGGGAGACAGAGGCAGGTGGATCTCTGAGTTCAAGGCCAGCCTGGTTTATAGAGTGAGTTCCAGGTCAGCCAGGGCTACACAGTGAAACCCTGTCTCAAAAAAAAAAAAGGTATGTGTGGGTGTTTTGCCTGCATGTATGTCTGTACACCACTACCTGCTTGGTGCCTTCAGAGGCCAGAAGAGGGCATTGAATCCCCTGGGACTGGAGTTAGACTGTTGTGAGCTGCCGTGTGGGTGCTGAGAATTGAATCTGGTCCACCAGAAGAGCAGCCGGTGCTCTCAACCCTGGGGAGTCTCACCAGACTGCTGTATGTATGTGTTCCTAGCATGTATGTAGTGTACCATGTACATACCTGGTGTCCTGGGAGGCTAGACAAAGGTATCAGATCCCCTGGAACTAGAGTTGTAGATGGTTATGACCTACCCAGTAGGTGCTGAGAGTTGAACTATTACTCTCCAGTGGTAACAAATGCTCTGAACTCCTAAGTCATCTCTTCAGCCCCTGCCCTGCCACCTTTGTATTGTCGCTTGTTTTGTTTTGTTTTGTTTTGTTTTGATGGTGTCTCACTGTGTAGCTCAGCTCAGGCTGGCCTGGAACTTACTATGTAGATCAGACTGGCCTTGAACTCATAGAGATCCACTTACCTTTGCCTCCTCAGTGCTGAGATTAAAGCCACGTTAAAGTTCTTTAACATCATCCTCTTAGACAAGATGTTGGGTAATGGTGGCCCTAAGGATGGCCAGGTTCCAGGCAGTGTAGTAGGCCAAAGTCCATCATCCGAGACCTTGGTGGCTCTCCGCGTTGTCTACCATGTGTCCAACAAATCTGTAGCTCATTCATGGTCAACTCCCAAATTTCACTCTAGTCACTGAGCTTGGGGTGGGAACCACGAGACTCATGCTACTCTCAGGGCTGGGGAAGCGCTAAGCCAAGCTTGTACTGGAATTCCCCGGGCTACCTCACCAGCAAAGCAGTGGACACATGCTGGGCAGCTGTCTTCCAGCCCAGGAATGCTGCCAGAAATGACCATTTGAAGCCAAGAAAGGAACCGAGAAGCATGATATCAGCTGTTAGTGAGGCAGCCTCTGAGTGAGCAAGCCGGTCCCTTATGTATCCCCTACCCCCTAGCTGAGGACCAAACCCAGGGCCTTGCTAGGCAAGCACTCTACCACTGAGCTAAATCCCCAACCCCCAAAAGAGAATTTTTTAAAATGTTTTTAGTCTGGTTTTTGCAACAGTCTCATGTCATCCAGGCTGACCTTGAACTCTCCAAGGCTGAGACTATCATTGAACTCCTGATCCTGCCTCTGCCTTCCCAGTTTGGGGATTCAGGCATTTGTGTACTGCCACATCACACTCATGGAGAGAGAAACTTAGGCTTGATGACATTAAGTTACAAACCTGCTCTTAGATTTTTCTCTAAAAAGGGGTTGTGCTGAGAACTAGAAACCTAGCAGAGGTCCTGGCCGAGTGGAACACTTCTGTAATCTCAATCACTCCAGAGGCTGAGCTTCAAGGCTAGCCTGGGCAACTTAGCAAGATCCATTCTGAAAATATAAAAGGGCTGAGGGTGTCTGTAGATAGCCAAGCCTTGTGTTCAATCCCGACAAAGAAAAAAATGCCAAGAATTAGAAGGCAGGAACATGTCAGGAGACAGTCTTTTTGTCCTCCGGTCTTGCTGGGGAGTCTGAGGCTGGCCCCATTTAACCCTCCCTCTCCCAGAGTCAACACTGGCATGGGCCCGAGTCCTGCTTTCTGTTGGAGCGTCTGGGGTTTGGGGCTCTGTGGAGGAGTCGGACACCTGCCCAGTCCTCTTCCAGCTTGATGTCCCCCTGCCGCAGGGCCTGCTCGATGGCAGTGGTGACATGGTCAAAGGCCAGGTCCACATTGCAGTTACTTTTGGCTGAGGTCTCCATGAAGGCCATGCCCATGGAAGCAGCCAGCTCCTCTGCCTCCTGGGTCGAGACGCATCGGGTGCTCAGGTCGCACTTGTGGCCAATCAGTAAGAAGATCACTTTGCCAGGGCATTGAGAGGATAGGACCTCCTGGTGCCAGGCTTGGATGTGTTCAAAGGACTCTCTGTTCGTCACATCAAAGACCAACAGAACGCCCACCATGTTCCGGTAGAAGGATCTGGTGATGCACCTGGTGGGGGCGGGGGACGACAGTGTAAATTAGGGGAGTCTTAATGCCTTTAGACAGTCTCAGGGGGGCCCAAGATCCACAGGCTTTCTACTCCTCCATTCCAGCACATTACATTCAACTCAGCGTCTCATGTGGCCCATGCTGGCCTCAAATCCCTGCTCTCCCGCCTTCATACCTGTAAGTGCGAAGATTACAGGAGGTGTGGGGGGAAGGGGACAGTCCCCTAGCTCCTACCCATGGCTCCACACCAGTCTTGCTTTCTTCCCATCCCCTTGCGCTGTCTTTGCACCCAGGTCATTCACCTCTCTGGGAAGTTCAGTGTCTCAGTGCAAATCCCCCTATGCTGACATCTCCTTTAGGGCTGGTTAAGGGCTTTGGTGCGGCGGCGGGGATGGGTAGGGGTACGGGGGGGGGGGTGCGGGGATGTGGCTCAGAGACAGCACATGCTGGGGTTGCGGGGCTTTGTAGAATGAATGATTGAGTAGGAAGGGGTTGGTAGGGTAGGGACCACGGATCCCTGCTTGAGCCCCTGCAGTTGGCACCTGCGGGCGTGGCTCCCCCCAGGTGTCTGGCACTGATCCCCCCCCTTTCCCGCCGCACCTGAAGCGCTCGTGACCCGCGGTGTCCCAGAGCTGCAGCTTGACCCGCAGCCCAGCGGGCAGCTGCAGAGCGCGGCTGTAGAACTCCACGCCCACAGTGGGCTCGGGCTCGGGCTCCGCCGCCGCCCCGCGGGCGCCCGCCACGTAGCACCGCAACAGTGACGTCTTGCCCACCGCCGCGTCCCCGAGCAGAGCGATTCGGAACTGGTAGCTGCAGTCCGCCGCCTCCATGGGATCTGGGCTCCGGGCCGGCCGATCTCGGACCCTTTCTTTGCGGCCCCGCCCATCCTGTGGGGCCCTCCTCCTCCTCCCCACTCCTCCTCCTCCTCCTTCTCCTCCTCCCCACTCCTCCTCCTCCGGATCCCTGGTCCTGGCACAGCCTCGAGGAAGATAGGTCTGAGGAGCCTGGTCCTGGAGACCAATCCTTGGTGTAAGTAAGTCAGGGTGGAAATCACTACCTCTGTAAAATGGGGACAGTTGACAACCTCTGCTTCAGAGGATAAAGTGACTTACACCTTTTCTTTTCTTCGGAGACAAGGTTTCTCTGTGTGTAGCTCTGGTTGCCCTGGAACTTGCTTTGTAGACCAGGCTGGCCTCGAACTCACAGAGCTCTGCCTGGCTCTTTTCCTTTTTTTTTTTTTTTAATGTTTACTTATTTGTGTGTATATGGGTGCACCCGCGCACATATGGAGGTCAGAGGACAATTTGCAGGAGTTGGTTCCCTTCTTCTACCTTGTGGGCACCCAGGGCTTAAACTCAGCAAGTGCCATCACCCTGTAACTCTTCTCACTGATTCTAAAAAAAAAAAAAAAAAAAGAATCTATATCACACCTCTAAATAATCCTAGCCAGTGTAGAGAGGCATGAAACAGCTGGACAGGAGCCCTCCCCAAAGAGGGCTGTGCAGTGTCAGCATCGGATTCTTTGAACTTCCTCTCAGAGGCTCCCGCTAGGGCTGGGGTCATGTGTCTGCCTCTGATTGCACCTGGCACCAGAATCCACATGTCAGCTGACCCATGCCATAGACAAGGCTGTGTAGCCCCAGAGGCTAACCCTTCCCTGTGCCCTGCTTCCTCATCTGCTAAGGCAAATTCCCATGAGGCTCCTCATGCAGAACTGTCTACCACAGCAGCTAAGGTTCTGCACATTTCCATGGGGAGATCTGGGCTGTGGTTCAAGGGCCACTCACCACTGGTTATGCAATCATAGCCAAGTGTCATCCCTACAGTCATCACTGGGTGATTATTCCAGGAAGTGCTTGCTGGCTATCCTTTAATATATTTTAATTTATTTGCTTTACTGCTGAGTTCTCTTACTGGCCCATCCTATTTTTTTTTTTTTAAAGATATCTTTATTTATTATGTATACAATGTTCTGCCTGCAGGCCAGAAGAAGGCACCAGATCTCATTACAGATGGTTGTGAGCCACCATGTGGTTGCTGGGAATGGAACTCGGGACCTCTTGAAGAGCGGCCAGTGCTCTTAACCTCTGAGCCATCTCTCCAGCCCCTATCCTATCTTTTCTATTCCAGCACACATACAGCTTGGAGAGGGCAGAGGCAAAGTTCGTGCTCTTGGAGAGCTCCCGTTCGAATGAGGAAGGCAGACAAACACAAACGTATAGGAGCTGGAGTAATAGCTCAGCTGATAAAGAGCTTGGCACCCAAGCCTGAGGACCTGAATTCCATCCCCCGAACTTGTAATCCCAGCACACATCTCCTACTCTACTTGGCAAACTACGAGCCAATGAGAGAACCTGTCTTAAAAAACAAGGTAGAAGCTGGGCAGTGGTGGCGCACACCTTTAATCCCAGCACTCGGGAGGCCGAGGAGGCAGGGGGGGATCTCTGTGAGTTCCAGGCCAGCCTGGTCTACAATGAAAGTTCGTGGAAAGGCGCAAAGCTACACAGAGAAACCCTGTCTTGAAAAACCAAAAACCAAAAACAAAAAAAGCAAAACAAACAAAAAAGGTAGAGTGTTAGGGTACATGTTTTTAATCCCAGCACTCAGGAGGCAGAGGCAAGCAGATCTCTGTGAGTTCAAGGCCAGCCTGGCCTACATATTGAATCCCAGGTCATCCAGGGTTACATAGTGAGACCCTATCTCAAACAAACACCCCACACACACAAACTACCACTCACAGCTCACTATGTGGTGCTAGGGTCCACCCTATGGTTTTCATGCTTGCCCAACAAATGTTCCTAACCTCCGAGGCATCTCTCCAGCCTGAAACCTAATTCTTCAGGTGTATATAGGAGCTGAGGTGAAGGGTGTAGCTTAGGGACAATATATGGTAAGGCCAATGATACCCTCCCTAACATTGAGGAGGGAAAAAAGCTGGGCCTGGCTGCAGGCTTGTAATCCCAGCTACTTGGGAGCCTGAGTCCTGCCTGGGCAAACGAGTGAGATGTGTAAAAACAAAAACAAGGCCTGGTGGTGGTGGTGGTGGTGGTGGTGGTGGTGGTGGTGGTGGTGGTGGTGGTGCACGCCTTTAATCCAGCACTCACTTGGGAGGCAGAGCCAGGCAGATATCTGTGAGTTCCAGGCCAGCCTGGTCTACAGAGTGAGATCCAGGACAGGCACCAAAACTACACAGAGAAACCCTGTCTCGGAAACAAAGCAAACAAACAAACAAAATCCAAATAAGAAAAAGTCACCTCTCTACTATATACTGTGGATGTGATATGACCAGCTGTCTCAAGCCCCTGCTGCTGGGACTTCCATGCAGTGATGTGACTGTACCCTGGAATTGTAAGCTAAATAAACTACTTTTTTCCCTCTAAGAAAAATTAATTAATTAAATAAATAAATAAGGCTAATGGAAGGGCAGAAATTTACAAATTAACCACACCATAGAATAGTTACTTAATTCTTGGCAACAACTATTTACATTTTTTTTTTCTTTTTTGAGACAGGGACTCAAGTAGCCCTGGGTGGCCTCAAAATTTACCTTCACCAATCCCAGCTCTGGGAGGCAGAGGCAGGTGGATATTTGTGTGTCAGAGGCCAGTCTTGTCTACATAGTAAGTTCCAGGAAAGGCAGAGCTACATGATAGAGACCCTATCAAAACAAAAACAAAAAACAAATGTAGCAGGAATCTTAAAAGTTCTTATTAATAAAATCAAACCTGAGGCCAGTTATTGGGGTCCATGCTGGTAGATCAGTGAGACAGAACAAGCCACAGCTATCTCACCTCGCTGGATCCTCAGCTGGTCCTGTTTCCTCAGACTGGAAGCTTCTGTGTCTTCATCCCGAATGAATCTCAGCTGAACTGTATTGCTCCATAGCCTGAAAGCTTAACCAGGCCAAATGCTTAACCAGCCAAATCATCTTCTAGTTTCTGGTCCTCACGCCTTATATATCTTCCTGCTTTCTACCACCACTCCCTGGGATTAAAGGCTGGCTTTCTGGGATTAAAGGCGTGAGTCACCATGCTTGGCTATTTCCAATGTGGCCTTGAACTCACAGAGATCCAGAGGGATTTCTGTCTCTGGAATGCTAGGATTAAAGGCGTGTACTATCACTGACTAACTAGTGGCTTGTCTGTTCTCTGACCCCAGGTAAGTTTATTAAGGTACACAATATTTTGGGGAACACAATACCACTACAAACAAACAAACAAAAAACTCCAAACAACCAGACAAAAGAAACCTTATATTAACTATTTAGTCCTGGGATTACAGACCTGGGTCACACTCAGAGGTGTGAAGTATTCAACTCAGGACCTCATACACTTCACCAACTGAGCTACATCCCAGTCTGTTCATGTTCTTAGGTTGGGGCTCATCATTCATTCATTCCATGAGCAAACAACCACCCATGGTCGTGACTTTGAGTGTCTGAGCTGTTCTCAGAGTCTAGTCTGTCTACCTTGCTCGCTAGCTGTGATCCATTTTTCAATTTCCCGTGAAAAGGGCATAATCAAGAAGCCAGTACACAAGGTTTGTATGAAAATGAGATGGAATAATCTGGCCCTGCATAAACAGCAGGTGCTCAGGAAATGCTATTTCACATTAGCTTTGAACAGATAAAGGATCCACCTGGAGCCTCAATTGTTGGGGCCCACTAGGTTTCCTAGTGGCTGGACCCAGCAGGACTGCATGGGAGGTTGATTGGACCACGGGCCTGGGTACCAGGTGTTTGTAAGGGTCTAACTAGCAAGGGGGAGGTCTTTTGCTCCACCCCTTGGCATTGTTATAAAAAGCCCTTTGGAATAAAGTTCTGGGCCGCTGGATAAGGATCCAGGCCCACCCGAGTCTATCCTGTGTTTTCTCTCTGTTTCTCTTTCCTTATTTCTAACTAAGTTTCTTATTCCCTATTCCTCAAGAGTTCCTGGGGTAAATAAGTGTGGGGGTTGACCCCCCCCCTCAATAGCCTCGCTCAAGAAGCCCTCTACTCACTCCTGCATCCTAGGATGATACACCTTCAGCACCCCCTTCCCGTTACTCCCTCGCGGCATCCCAAGACGCTCGGGGCGGAGAACCTTTTCTAAGATCAGTGTTAATTCAAAGTTGCCCCGAGACTTAATCCGCAGGGACCACGGCCGGTCTCGGGTGTGAGTCCATCCAATTCACTGTGGCCGGGGTGGAAGCCTCTCTAGTGCTCAGGGATCAGGGCCGGCTCAAGGCAGGACTAGGCAGTGCGCGTGGACTACATTTCCCAGAGGGTCCGTGCGGCAGACGGAGGGCGCAGGCGCGGGCGTGGGCGCGAGCAGTATATATGGCGGTTGCGGGCCCTGTTTCGTCCTTTCTTCCTGCGTCCGCGTGCATGTTTGTGCTCTCCTTATCGTCATGTAGCGCATACCCATCCCCTCCACAGATCGCCGCCCTCTGAATGCACCCTCTGGATGCTTCCCCAAAGGCTTCGGGATGCAGAACCTGCCGCAAATAAACCAGGCTTCTCCTTATCGCCGGTGGAAGCCTACAAGGTAGCCACGATGGCCGCTTGCGCAGTGAGAGTCCGCGGCCTGCGTACCGCGCCATTTGACGGGTGAGTGATGCCGGCCATCGGCTTGGTGGTGGGGCGATGGGGATCTGGCGACAGCATTTGCGGGCTGAAGGGGTACGTACTTGGGTGCGATGACCTAATCGGGCTGTCGCCAACTGAAGAACCCTATGACAGTTAATTCTGGATCACTTGTGGCGATTTAACCTCGCTCCTGTTACCTGGAGTTACCCTAGTGGATGCGAGGTAATGGGGTCGAACTCTTGGATCCTGGCACGTGCTAGGTTATCCCCGTCTAAGCCGTAGGCCTCAAGCCATTAAGAATTTTTTTTTTTTTTCTGGAAGACCTTGTTTAGAACCTCAGCTTTGTTACATTCTGGTTGAATAGGCTGCCGTTTTAAGCTTACCCTGATACTAGAGCAAGTTAATTGAGAACTTGGTGTGTTGGGTGGGGGAGGGGTGGAGGCACTAAGGTCATGAATTTTAGACTTGGGCTCGAAACCTGTCCTAGTGTATTGAACTATTGGGGCCTTTGGAGCTTGCAGGATTGCTTTTTGGGGGTTGGGGGTTGGCGATGTCTCTAGTATACAAAGCTGTAACTTAGGATCTTCTGTGCGCCAGGTGGTTTGTGGGTTTGAAGTCTTGTAACCCCCATCTGCCTGTGGCCCTTATCGAAGCTGCAGCTGCTTCTACATAGCTGCTGTGGTCAAAAAGGAGGCCCAGAGAAACAGTTTTCCTTGACGGTCGCGGTTCTGTTTACTGTAACTGATCTGCAACATTTTGGGAAAAGACAGCTCTGCCTTAATTCTATAGAGGTATCTAGAGATCTTCATTAACATCAGCATAAGTAATACTACAGGCCAGCAAAAATGTCTTGAATGTGGTGTTTGTGTAATAGGGCTTTTATAAGTAGATTGCTGAACCCACGATCATACAAGGGCAGTTCCAGGTATGTTCACCTGTTGGTACAAGGCATGTCATGGGGCGCATTCCCTGTAAGAGAAGGCCAGTTGATGATCAGGTGTAAGAAACTAAGATAAGTGGATGATCGTGTTCCCGTTCATCTTAGCTTTTCCAGGTGAAGACTCCATGAAAATGGGCTGAGTAAGGAGACCAGAAGATGTGACAGGTGAAACACAGCAGTAGGCCTGGTGAGTATGGTGTTGAGATGACCTGGTGAGAAAGCCAGCATGTTTCCAAGGGCTATGGCTGGTTGTGGCCATGGGGTCTCCAACTGCATGCCAGAGAAACTGGAAAGACTTTGACAGCCCAGGCCAGCACAGTGCCTGCAGCTGCCACTCGGCTTTCCTATATGTGTTGTGCCTGGGGTGGAAGCTTTCTACCTGGGACACTGCATTCCCTGAAAATTCACAACAGAGCTTTCCTTCTGCAGGTTTACACCCAAAGCTCTTGGAAGTCTGAAAAGCCAGCCTGTCTGCCTCGGCTCATTCACTAAGGTAAAGTTGCTGTCTGAGACAGCCGGACCCTCCGGTTCCCTTTCC